CAGTCAGCATAAAACTCTCTCTCCAAGATGATATATTCCCATTATAATACTTTAAGTTTAAGGAAGGAAGGAATTAAAACAAACAGAAAGATTATTAGAAGCCTTTTTCTCATGATTTCTATCTTATATTCATGAATGTATTTTGTAAGAATACAAAGAGTTAACTGAATAAACATGTTTAAATTGTATAATGTGCAACAAAGATTTTTTTTCTCCAAGATATTGTTTTTGCTGCTAAATTATACAGTCAGCTAGTTTTATTTCATATCTTAAATTAATCAATTATATAATGAAAGCCATAAAAACAGACAGTTAATCGCGATAATCGGCATAATCGCCAAAGCCCTAAAACAGACAATCGCAACAACCAGGACTATTTTTAGACAATTAATCGTCAGCCAAATTTCATAATCGTGACCGCCCTAACCTGGACTGCAGCGTGCATTGATCCATGTTTTAAGACGGGAAGCAGTTTTCTATTCTGTGTCAGTTCTTGCGCTGTTGTTCAGCAAAAAGAAAAAAAATCCTGTCATATAGTTGTCAGCCTGTGAATTTTGATAAACTTGATGCTGTGCAATGATACACTGGTATTTAATGGTTAACATTCTTGCTGACTGCATGTAGAGATTAAAGGGGTCATATGATGTTGCTAAAAAGAACATTATTTTGTGTATTTGGTGTAATGAAATGTGTTTATGCGGTTTAAGGTTAAAGAAAAAATTGAAATCGCATCATATGACCCCTTTAACATACAGTGCAACATGCTGTTTTAATTGCAGACAAATTGCTTGATTGGGACAGTTTAATGAATCATTTAAACCATTTGGTGAATCATTTTGAATCGATTACAAATAAAAGTACAAAAAAAATCTGTAATTTTATTTGTTGGGAAAATGGTATAAGAGATGGTATTTTTAGTATTATTTATATACTATTATAGTGCTTATTGATTGTGTTTATGGGGTGCAGTCTAACATGTTAATGCTTCATTTAAAAAAAAAATATATATATTTTGAATAAAATATTTTTCACATAATTTACCTTTACTCTTTACTTTACTTAACTCTGTCCCTTCTCCTATAAACTCGCTGATCATTTCCTGCTTTTATGAAGCCCCTCCCTCAGGAATACGGGATGGACTCTGATTGGTTAGCTAGTCCAGTGTGTTGTGATTGACTAAACCGCCTCTAGTGTACGTCTAAACAATGATTTTTTGTGGTAGAAATAGTCCAATGCATTACATCATTCATTTCAGGGTTTGTACAACCTTTTGAGAGAGAAATTCAAGCACTTTTCAACGGCTTTCAAGCATTTCACACAACTATTTCTAACTAAAATGATCCAGTTTGAATGTTATTTTTAATAGGATGACCAAAATATACTTTGTGGTAAACAAACACTTATGTAAAATTGAAAAAATACATCAAATCACAATTATAACCAGTAGACGGCAGAAGAGGAGCACTTATTGACTTATTAGTCATTCATTTCTACTTTTTCTCTATATTTTGAAATTATAAATCAGTATTATAAAATATCAAATCATCAAGAACTAGTGCTTTCCTGTCAAATCTGTATAAACAATAAACAAAAGAAAAATAAACAAGAAATGAACATGTAATATTATTAGTAACTGCACGTATTAATGCAACGCAATAGTAATTTTATGATTAAATGATTAAAACCACCCCCAGCGCTACCAGATCTGCTCCTGGCGCCACCATCTGTAGAACTTAGTGGCGCTGGTGCCACTGCTCTCAAATGTTAGTCTGGAGCCCTGCATAATGCTTCTCATAGCTATGTGAAAATAAGTGTATAAATTAGAGGTCGACCGATAGTGGATTTTGCCGATACCGATAGCTAGCTTGAACCACACTGGCCGATACTGATTAATTAACCGATAGTTTTAAAATTGATACTGAACAAAAACTAAAATAGTGCTTTATCTTTATGTACTGAGCCATACTAATAGTAGTAGTAGTAAAAATAATAATAACAATAATAGTAATAGTAAATGTTGAAATTAACACACTCTAACAAGGAACAATACTTACACAGCTTTCATTAATCTTAGGCAAACGTTTTGCTGAAAATGCACAATACACAATTCATTATGTACATTAACAACGATTCGGGACCAATATCATGTAATTTAAAGGAAAACTATGTGAATGGCGCTCTGTGGTGCGGCAGGATATTCTGTAGGCTGCATTTAAATCCGCGTCTGAAGTTTCCCGCTCTGCTCAGCGTGCAGTATCACGTGTCTAAACTAATAGCACGTGCTGTCAGTGATTTCAACCACTAGAGGCCGCTCTCGCACTGTGTAATGACCGCAGA